ATAGATAGATAGATAGATAGATTGATCGATCGATAGATACACGGATGGAGGACGGATGGATGCATGGATGGAGAGATGGGTTGATAGATAGATAGATAGATAGATAGATAGATAGATAGGTAGATAGACAGATAGATAGATAGACAGATAGACAGATAGACAGATTAGACAGATTAGATAGATAGATAGATAGATAGATAAATAGATAGATAGATAGATAGATAGACAGATCAACCGATCGATAGATAGATAGATAGATAGATAGACAGATAAATCGATCGATAGAAAGATAGATGGACAGATCGATGGACACATGATAGATAGATAGATAGATGGGTAGATAGATAGATAGATAGATAGATAGATAGATAGACAGATAGACAGATAGACAGATAGACAGATAGACAGATTAGATAGATAGATAGATAGATAGACAGATAGATAGATCGATGGATAGATAGACAGATCAACCGATCGATAGATAGATAGACAGACAGATAGATAGACAGATCAACCGATCGATAGATAGATAGATAGACAGATAGATAGACACATGATAGATAGATAGATAGATAGATAGATAGATAGATAGGTAGATAGATAGATAGATAGATAGACAGATCGATCGATATATAGATAGATAGATAGACAGATAGATAGATACATAGATCGGTACCGAAGTGGACCCTAGTGAACATCCAACCCGAACATCCAACCCTTGAGCCCTAACTTCTAAGGACTGTAGGTGGGGACCCCAAATAGGGACCCTTAATCCCATTACCTTAAATAACCATTGTATAGTCCTTATATACCCCTTATATAGCCAGGTAGTCTCCCTATTAACCCCAATAACCTACAAGGGTCCCTATTAAGGGTCCCTCCTAAAGCCCTTAGATAACCAACCCCCAAGCAAACCCGAAACCCTAGACCCTTGAAGCCCTGAACGCTAAGCCGGAATCCAATGAAGCCTACACCCGACCCAAAGATCGTGAGACGAACCCTAACCCCTCAACGCCCTAAACTCCAAATCGCACATGCCGGCTCCAGCCACAAAGCAGAAGATGAAAGACCAACCAAGGGCCTCGCCGGTTAGTGCCCTGTATTACCCTAAGGATCCATGTACCTTTGAAGATTGCTTCTATGGAGGTCTTGTTAGGGTTCTCTCGAAACACTCAGAGGGTATTGGGCTCCATGCACCTATATCGTGTCTATTGCGTTCCCGAAGGGGTTTCTATGTAGGTATCTCAGAACCCATGTCTATACTATATGGGCACATGCGCCCTTATAGGGCCAGGGACCTTACAGCTGACATTCGGATCTCGATAATCTAGATATTATGAACCAGGCATTGTTGATATCCAGCACCACTAGTAAAGAATGGTCATTGGGGTTGGGGGAGTTCGCATTTCAGGTCTGCGGGTTTAGTGCTGTTTGGGCCGGGGGCTCGGAGGTTTTAGGCTTCGGGGTTTCAGGGTTTGTGCGGTATGAGATTATTAGAGTTCAACGGCAGAAGCAACAAGTCATGTTAGGATAAGCCCAGCTGGGGCACCTACTTATCCTACATACAAAGTCCGCTGATGCTTCCAGGAGTCGAACACAACCAAATTGCTACTGGCGGTGGTAGGAGGGTTTAGGGCTTAGGTTCAATGACCAGATGAATTTGCTGGATGGCCTTGATAGCGAGGACTGTGCGAATGATGATGGGTAGAAAGCTTACAATTCGGGCTCGGAGTAGCACGAGTTGCTTTGGAGGTTTAGGCCGGGCCATACTTGGCTTGTAAAAAGGAAGCCTAAGCAGTAGCACGAAGGCCTTCAAGCACGTCGCCATCATCGTCACGAGCTTTTGGAGCTCGCGCAAGGCGCGAGTCCTGTGTGACGGATGCAGCCAAACAGGAGGCAATGCGGCTCGAGAAGCTTTAAGTTTCGGCTTATGGGTTGATGGTCTAAGCTATATCTTTCGGCTCCAACCAACCCAGCAAGTGGCGTGGAACAAACGACCAGCATGGCTGCCCCCGGACGGTTGAAGGCTTCTAGCTCGATATTAAACCAAATGGGAGTTTCCGAAAATAGGGGACCCTAATATAGTACCCTAAATAGTAGGATCCTTATTATAAGGGCCCGAAGATAAGGTACCCTAATTTTGGGAAACTCCCAAATCTATACCAGAGCTAAATGCCGGGTTCGATCAGCCTCCCCTCCAAAAAGCAGAGTTTTCTGTGCTCTTCCTCATGTTCCCCACGTCTAAGGCTAGCTCGAGCACTGCTCCAAGAGAGGTCGGTACCGACCAGGGGAGGCAGGCGCCATGTACATACCCCCAAAAGGATCTAAAAAATAGANNTAGATCCCCTAATTAGGGACCCTAGCTACTAAAGGGTACTTTATAGGAACCCCTTTAGGGGATCTATTTTTTTAGATCCTTTTGGGGGTCTGGGCATGTACCTACGTTTGAGGGTTTGATAGCATAGACATGTTCGGAAACCGCAAGGATTAGCACTTGTCGCAAACAGCAGGCCACTGCTTCCTCCGAGGCTCCACAATAGCTTGCACTTTGTCCAAAAAAAACTATTACAAAAGGGGATCCTCATCAGTATGATCAAGAACAGTCCTTACTTCAGGGGTCCCGGGGTCTCTGGCTGAGTGAGGATCCCCAAACCCCACCAACATCCCTACTCAGGGTTTGGGGTTTCTAGGCTCCCTAAACCCTAAACCCGACACCGCTTTAGGGTTTAGGGAAGGAGTTTGGGTTTCAGGATCCTAAACCCTAAGCCCTAAACCCTAAACCCGAAACCCTGGGGGTTGTCAGACTCTCTGGTCTCCTCCGAAGCAGCCGCATCAGGCCTGGCAGAAGGGTCCGAGGGGCCGAGGGTTATTAGGGTTTAGGGTTTAGAAATTTTGCAGGGACTTTACGGATTAGAATAGCTAAGTTGTCCTTTAAGCCCTTTGAAAATTATTTACTATCATGGTTCTCTACAAAATATTACGGGAAATTAAAAGATTCCAAAAGACAACCCAGATAGGGCTTCGGGGTAGTTTGAGGTATTCGCTATAATAACAACTACAAGGGACTACGCTATGTGGACTATCAGGGCGGAAGGTTTGTGCTTTGGGACCTTGATCGTTGGCATAAAGGTTTTGGTGTATATAGGTCTCTTGGTTGCTAAATCCGGCAACAATCACAAGCGCCACGAACGGGAACCACCGGGACACTTGCCGAGGTGGATCCAAGCAAGCCATTGGGATTAGGGCTATAAGCCCTAAATCCTAAACCCTAATCCCTATAAACCCTAAACCCTAAACCCTGAACCCTAAACCCTAAACCTGTAGAACTCCGTAGCTGAATGGTCTTTCTGTTAGCGTGGTTTGGGAATTTGACAGCGTCCGAGACCTGTTGCGCCCGGGACCTGGGTCGTTCGGCCTCCACATGGACGGATAATGCCAAAAGCCAGCCATATAAAGGAAATCCCGAACTGAATACACACCGAAGGCTAAGGAGGGAATATTCGGATGCTTTAGGCGCGTAAATCTCTAGCCCAGAAGGTGGCTGGTCTTGGAGTCTTGGATGAAGTACTCCAACTTTGGTAGGGCCCCAGAAAAGCACATAAGCAAAAATTAGGATCCGGATATCCCATATAAATCCTTTCATATGAAGCCCAATAAGGTAGGGATATCCCTATAGAAAGCTTATGCTTATGTGCTTTTTGGGTCCCTAATTTGGCTTCTGCCCGCCGAGCGGCGAATAATTCGCGCCAAGCGCAAGACTCGAAGCATGCTAAAGCTCGCAATGAGATCGCCAGGGGCGAAGAGATTCCTGGGTTGGGGTCAGGGTTTAGGGTTTAGGGTTTAGGGACTTTAAGGTCTTTTAAGGTTCATACAAGATGTATATTCGGGCATATTTGGGATTTATGGTGGCGTCTTTTCATACAAGGTTTAGGGGTCTGAGAGCCACAGCTTTGGTTGCTTTGCAGCTACTGGGCTTGGGATTCTGGTGATGAGCTGGCCCCGGTGCAGACCACAAACTCCCTGGATTGTGGAAACGGTTTTTGTTTGCCTGATAGACCCCTTTAAAGGAACCCTACTCTAATCAAAATGTGTCCTCTGATCAAGCCCGAAACCCTAAGCCCCCGACTTAGGCTCTGCAAACAAAGGCGTAGGGGCCGAGTACCCTAGCCCCCCAAAAAGGTTAACCTTCTCAATTATGGTAGGATTCTATCAACCCTCAAAAGGTTACAGAAGGGACTGCCATGGGGCTTGGGTTTAGGGCTTTAGGGCTTTAAGGCTTTAGGGTTTAGGGTTTAGGGTTTAGGAGGTTTAGGGCTTAGGGTTTAGGGCTTAGGGCTTAGGGGGCCGCTCTCCAAGGTTAAAGGTTACCTACTCAGCCACTAAATCGAAGAAGATCCGGGCTCTTCACTTGGGGAGCCAAGATCCCCAAGAGGGGCTCCCTCCCTTGGGTTTCTAGGGTTTAGGGTTTAGGGTTTAGGGCCTAGGACCACAGAAAGGGAGAAAGGGACCTGAAGTAGGGGCCTTAATAGTTAGAATAGGGTGTCTGGGGGTAATCATCTTATACTGTAATTATAATAAGGTACCCCCAACAATAGTATTGGTACTTTTTTTGGCTCCTATAGTAGAGAGGGAGAAAAACTTTGAAGTTTCCGATGTTCTTGGGCGCCAATCACCGGTGTTCAGACGGTTAAAGGTGTACAGCGCGTATAGTCTCAATGCAGCTACTCTGAGGATCCAGACCATGAATTTGGTCCGAATATGGGTACTACAGGGTTGCCGAAACCTCAGCTCATTTAGCGGACCTGAGATTGCCACTGCAATGCAGTGCTTGCTGCCCATATCTCCCTAAACCCTAAACCCTAAACCCTAAACCCAATCCCCGAAGCTCTCTGCGGCTGAGTGAAACCCTGAGCCCTGAAACCTGGAATCCTGGACCCGCAGCGCTAAACCTTTACTTTACTTAAAGGATCATGGGACTTAGTGAGTAGGGTTTAGGGTTTAGGGTTTAGGGGTTAAGGGTTTAGGGTTTAGGGTTTGGGGTTTAGGAGGATCATGGGACTTAGTAAGTAGGGTTATAATTAAGGTAACTATACTTATAACCCCAATTAGGGGACTTACAACCTTACTTACTAAGTCCTATGACCCTTTAAGTACCCACTGGCTAGGGCAACTTGGCAACCTGGCTCTCGGACATCCTATAGTGTAGTAGTTCGATCCCTCTCCCCAAAAACTGCCCAGGACAGAGCGCAGAAGCAACTCCGCATACCCGCAGAAGATGATCACAATGTCCAGTATGACCATCCAGTCACGCAGAAGCTTGCTTCCTTGCACATACCTTGGACGGAGGACTCGGTGAACGGTCGGGTCTTTTTCTGGCTCGGTTAAGGGTTCAGGGTCTGCTTGATTGCATTCGACCTCAGTGGCCGGCACACTGAGAGGAAGTGTTTTGGGGCAATCTACCCCGTGCACTGCCAGCGACGCATCGATTACTTCGCGCACAAGGTTATTCGCCACTACCCTCAGACGAAGAATTCCCTGGAAAACAAAATGTATCGACTTGTGGAGGGTGCGCATTTTCGGCTTATCAGCATGCTGTCGGGCTTCGGGTTTAAGGCGCATGTTTGTTTCTGTTGGAGGGTAAGGGATTCAAAGCTTGAAGGAATGTCACCTACAGGGAAAATTACAGTGCTTTTGTATCACACCATTGCAGGCAAAAGGAACTTTTGGGAACTGAGTGCTGTTGCCCTTAGGAATCGGTGATCCATCACGATTTTTTATTTGTTCCTCAACATTCCGCAGAGTGATGGTTACTTCTACTTCTGGAAGTAGCTGAGGAACTGCTGCTGGTCTGCAGGGCGCAGGCTTTCAGCACGCAGGCTATTATGTCGTACCCAGACTACTTTCCTTCAGCCAAAGCACCACTGCAGGCCGCAGTACAATCTCCAGCCATAAACAGTTATACAAGCCTGACTCTCCCTCTAGGAACGCAGGAACACGCAACAAGCTCAAGCCACAAACGCCACCTTACCAAATCAATCGCGGACAGCAACCACAAGCAACTAGCCAAAGCCCAACTTTATTTGTATCAACCCTAGACCTCTAACACCTAAACCCTAAACCCTAAAGAAAAACTGCGAACCGTAAGCCGATGATCCTAAACAGGGCTTAGCGTTTGTTCTGCTTTAGATATCATGATTATTATTACTACTACTTACTATTGCTATTACTATCTGGGTACAGAATTCTGTAGACGGAAACGTGCGAAAGCCGAACACTAGACCGGGAATGCTCAAGCTTTGGCAAAAGTGATTTTACACTTCGCATAGGGCTGTAGGGATTAGGGGTCTATCACTTTGTATAGGGCTTCAGGGTGGTATTCGGGCGATGGTGAAATTTAGCTGTTCAGTCTTCAGTCTGACATGTTTCAAACACTGAAGCCAAGACCCCAAACGAAGACAGCTCAAAACCCGAACAACACACAGCCATAAACTAAGAAACACAAAGTCCAAAAAACAAAATCGTAAGCTCAATGCCGTAACCCCCGTAAACCCTAATCCCTGATCCCCAAACCCCCGAAAAATCCCAAGGCAGCGCAGGCACAGAAGGAGCCCCAACTCGATGGTGTACAATGCTAAGCAACAATCTGATATCTCGGCGTTGGTTTAGGGTTTAGGGTTTAGGGTTTTAGGGGTTTAGGGGTTTAGGGTTTAGGGTTGGTCTTCGCTTCGTTTCATTTTAGCAAGTGCAACGAGGGGGTTTCCCCTCAATCCTGAACCCTACGAGCCCTGAGCCCCAAACCCTGCGAGCCCAAAGCCCTGAACCCCAAATTCGAGGGTTTAGGGTTTAGGGTTTAGGGTTCAGGGTTCTAGGGTTCAGAGCTTTGGCCTGTTTTGGCAGGGTTGAGGGGCCTGGGCCTTAAAGTTCAGGGCTTGAGGGCGAGGGTGCGGGGGTTAGGCTTGTGGGGACTAGGGTTCAGGATTTAGGGTTTAGGGTTTAGGGTTCAGGGTTTAGGGTTAGTATTCAACTTGCTCGTAGGTTGCTAGGTGTGAAATGTCCGGCCCGAGTGGTGGTGGACATATCGACATACGTGTGCATCTACCCTGTCAGACAGGCGTGCTGGTGCTCAATCTGAACAACGGCTTGGGTTGAGGGCTTGTGTCGGGGCATAATGTAGGGCCTTAATAGTTAGAATAGCGTATTGGGGGTTCCTTATTATAATTATAGTATAATATACCCAAGCCCTATTCTAATTATAAAGGCCCAAAGGCTCTGGGATTGAGGGCTTGTGTCGAGGCATAGGGCCTTCCGAACTGATCGGTTTCCACTTCAGGGATTTGCCTGACCCAAAGGCTCGCAGAGTTGCAGAATACTTTGGGCTTAAGCCGGGGGAGACTTGGTGAACTGTGCTTTGCCCCTCCTCACCACCCTTTTGACAAGATCCCAAAACTCCCATTTAAAAGCCAACTGACACGACTCCTCCCCCCCACGATTGCAATGCCCCCTGGGATGCTCCAGATGTGGAAAGTCAATACCGCCGGAGACTGTATTTGGGTAGTTGTCAGAATTAGGGTCCCTTTTGGGGTACCCTAAATAATAGGTGCCGCATTATAATAGGACCCAAAAAGGGACCATAATTTTGACGACCACCCATTTGAGCCCTGCATGAAACCACAGCACAAACCTCTTCTAGCAGCCCATCTACTTAACGGAAACCCCAATCGCATGCCAATCCTAGCATCCCAACCATAAGGGTCCATGTACCCAAATAGTATATACTTTGGGGGTAAAGTAGTCCCTATATAGGTACTTTGGGGCCAAAGTATATACTATTCGGGCACCTGGACCCTTAGGGCCAAGCCCTTAAAGGCCAAACTCTGAAATCTCGACCTATGCCTGATCCGGAAACCCTCAACCGCACAGTAACAACAGCGACTGAACTCTCAACCACGAGCCACAAAGTACAAAGCCGGAGCCCGAAACCCCATAGCTCAGACCCCGATTCCGAAACCCTGAAGCCCCCAAAAGCCTTTAGGGTTTAGGGGTTTAGGGGTTTAGGGCTTTTAGGGTTGAGGGTGTAGGACTGTAGCTCTCAGCTCCAAGGCACGATTAGCATCCACTGTGGAGTTTCCTGTTGAGTTGGAGTTTAGGGTTTAGGGTTTAGGGGTTTAGGGTTTAGGGGAGTTCCCTCCAAGGGTTTCATTTAATGCTCGCTGATGGATTTCGGGGTTCGGGTATATACCAGAAGGGCTGCGCCCACAGGTCTTTTTCCAGGGTTTCAACAGGGCCGTGTATGCTTTAAGGTTGTTTAGGCTTCCTATCAAGTGTTCCTTTTAGGATCCTCAAGTTTTCTAAGTTGTCCTTTAAGCCCTTTGAAATTGATAACTATCATGGTTCTCTACAAAATAGTAAGGGAAATTAAAGAAAATCCCAAAAGACAACTCAGGTTGTCTATATTGTTTAACAGGCTAAGGATGAGGACTTTCCAGGAGCCGCAAGAGTCCCCTCATTATACATAGAAGTTGAGGGGTTTAGGGGTTCAGGGACTTAGGGCTGAGGGCTTAGGGCTTTAGAGTTTAGGGTCTAGGGGTTTAGAAGTTTAGGGGTTTAGACCCTAAACCCTAAACCCTAAACCCTAAACCCTAAACCGTTAGGGGTGGAGGGACTTCGGGCTTAGCGTTCCGGGTTTAGGGTTCAGGCTTTGGGCTTCAGGGCCAGAGTCGTCTGATAGGGCCTTCTTTGCCTTGTGGCTTCTCAAGACCCTAAACCCTAAACCCTAAACCCTAAACCCCTAAACCCTAAACCCTAAACCCTAAACCCTAAACCCTAAACCCCCTAAAGTGTTCTAGACGGGCTACAAGTCTTTCATGAGGGTTTTAGGTGGCTTTTGGGGATTCAGGGCTAGCGTTTATTCATCTTCTAGGCAGTTCAGAACGCCAAAATGCAGACAGCAAACCCCAGAATGCCGGTTACTTCTGCAGTAAGTTACTGCTTCCCCGAGGCGTTATATGGTCGAGTGAATTCGAAAAAACCTCACATAGAAATTGTGCCCAACTGACCCCAGCAGTTTCAACACAAATCCTGTCGTATCTAATCGGTGCGCTGCAACCTGAGCAAGATAAACATAACAAAGCCTCTAACTTTCAGCACCTGCGCCCGACAGCCATAGTCAAAGCCAAGCATCTAAGAGACTCCAAAACCTCGTAATCAACCACGGGGCAACACCCCTCAAACTAAGGCTTCAGGGCATACGGCAAACGGTTCAGGGTTTTGGCGCTCTTTTTGGGATTTAAAGACATGGCTTAGCATTGAACGTCATTTAGCTTAAGTAAGGGGGTTTAGAGGCTCTGGAAAAGCCTGAACCCTAAAAGCTAAACCCTGAAGAACCCACATTTTTAAGGTTCCTTATTATGTTTTCTTTATATACATGCTTAAATAAAGGTAGGTTGTTTGGAGTTAAAGTAAACCCTCAAACCGTGAACTCTAAACCATTCTTGCCTGGGGTGGCGTAGCAGCTCGAGCATCTACGTCGGTGCAGGTGCAATACGCATCGAAGAGAACGACTCCAGCCATGAAATTCGACCTGGGGGCTTCTGCGTTGGCTACAAGAACAAAAATAACAATCACGAAACTTATTCTCATGAGATTAGAGACCATATAATCAAGAATTAAAACAACAATCATGAAACTAATATTCGTGAGATATTAGCAACCATCTAACCACAGTATAGTACTAGTCTCGGTTGGGGGTTTGGGTTTTGTCTTTCCTTTCGCACGCCCTTTTCGGCGCGCCAGATCGAAAGCAGGTGCGGGGGGGGGGGGGGGGGGGTAACACTCTACTTTGCTTCTCAGTTTATCACACCCCCAGTGTTTACGGCTTACGGAATTGTTGGCATCTCAGTTTGGGCTCCATACCAATAAGGCGCAGTGCTCCCAGACTCCAACATCTGCAGCCAGCAGCCAAACATCTTCGTCGGGTTCAGGATTTAGAGTCATGGGGTTTCGGGTTATAGGGGGTTACGATTGAAGGGATTTTGGCTTTAGGATTTCAGCGTGGCTTTACTCAAGCTTCAGGCTTCAAGGTCTAGATGCTAACCAGTTTAAGCAACAGAGACTGCTCTTTGACTTATTGAAAGCCTCCTTCAAGGGTTCCTCAAGGGTTCCAGAGTAATCGGGTTTTGCAATAAGAAGGTTCTGTAAGGGCTCTCCCAGGTATCGAAAGGTTTAGGGTTGAAAGTTTGCATTGCGGCCGAAGTGACACGATCCGACCCGTCACCATCTTTCGGATTTTGTCCTAGCGGGTTGCCCCTGTCTGGGAATCTCTAGCCTTGTTCAACCCTGCTCACCCCCACTGAGTTTTGCTGTTCAGCTGCCGAACATGCTTTGCGTGGTATTCAGTGCCTTGATCGTGAGAACCTATCGATCTGAGGCTACGAAAGACCCTTTGTGTCCAAGGAGCACTGCAACAAATCGGCACTTGGGCTACAACTGAGTACTTCGGCTAAATATTAAGAAAGTAAGAAGGAAAGGGCTGCACGTGGACTCTTGGGGAGAGGACATGCGGACTTGCAGGTCCTTCAGCTTGTACTGGAAAGTGTTCTCTTCACTGGTGACTGTCGGTTGCTGCATGCGAATGAAGTCGGACACAACCATGGTCGGCTTCCTGGACTCAGGGATACAAGTTCGGATACTTCGGGCCACTTTCTGATTCCCGTGGCTGGCAGATTTAACATGCCATACGAGCTCCGGCTCAACTTCCTTCCTGAATACAGCATGCCTGTAGATGATGTACGGATTCTGAGAGGGCTCTGGGTTTGTAGGAGTGTAGAGCCGAGCTTGGCATCGAGTGCCGACCATGTCTCACGTATGTCAAGATGTTGGGGGTGTTGGTTTTACGATTTCTCTCATACAGGGGCCGGAATAAATAGAATAGCACTCCTCCAGGCTCATTCTTGTAAGATGCTAGAAGCATACACACTAGTATGGCCCTACATTCGGAGCATCATCGGGTGAAGTGAGGACTTCAGGTTTTTAGGCCTCGGACTGGAGATCAAGGCACGTGGGGGCCTTCATCGTCAGGACTCCTATACATCAGCTGGGCCCCGTACGAGCAACGAGCCCTATGATATGAGATGATATGGTATGATATGATATGATATGATATGAGGTGATATGATACATGAGAGTTTGATATGATATGAGATGATATGGGAGTTTCTGGAAATTAGGGTACCTTATTTGGGGGTCCTTATGATAAGGATCCTACTATTAGGGTACTATATTAGGGTCCCCTATTTTCGGAAACCCCCATATGGTATGATATGATATGATATGAGGTGATATGATACATGAGAGTTTCGACTCACACACTCGCTCCAGGCATGCATGGCAAAGAGACGTCCCGAACAAAAGGGTTTCGAGTTTCCATAAAGCTAGTTGAAATATGTTGATGAGGATGCAAACGCACAAGATGCCTCTACGTAACTTACGGAGAGCCCACCCCATGTCAAGTCTCCAGTGTATGCCTTGGGCTCTATCAAACCAAGGACGCATGTGGCGCTTCTTGTGCTGAGAGCCAAGAAAGCCCTGAACAAAATTCGACTCGAAGCCCTACCCTTGCAGCTGGTAAAATCAACCCTGACAGACCCCTAGTAAGCCCCACACCCTAAACCCCAAACCCCTAAACCCTTAACCATCAACCCCAAGCCCAAATCCTTAGCCCCTAGTGCCGGAAAGCCTTAATCAGTTCTGATGCTGTAGCGAGCTGGAGTGGGGTCGAGTTTAAGGCTTAAGCGTACGCAGACTCAAACTCCAAGCTCTATATAAACCTCCAGGAACTCTGTTTGAGCGACGGTCGAGTGCTGGCACATTTGATGAAGAATCGTCTCGACTGCAGGTCTAAGCACTCCAAACGGACTCATCCTCCCAAGACCTTTTACACCTACCCTGCACCCCGAAACCTGAACCTAAAAAGCATATACACCCTGACCCTGAGCCCCATGCTATAAACCGTCATAAACCCTAAAGCCTCAAGTTCAAACCCTTACAACATACTCTCCCTGACCCTGAGCCCTACAATGACAAATCCGATAGGCCCTACATGGCCCAAGTGAAGCACCCAGGACCAGGTGGTCGCCAAGCGGCCTCACCCCTAAACCCTAAACGGTTTAGGGGTTTAGGGTTTAGGGTTTTAGGGTTTAGGGTTTAAGGTTTGGGGTTTAAGGTTTAGGGTTCAGGGCCAAGGTTTAGGGCTTAAGCCCTAAACCCTGCCAAGCGGCCTCGGTGTGCTGTCGCCCCTTGAGGGACTGGACATCGACCGCTCCGACCGATTCATGGAGTTGCTCTTCCCCTGCCTGCGAAGACTCGTAAGGCAAAGATGAAGAAGGGTTTAGGGTTTAGGGTGTAGGGGTTCCTTGATAGGGTTACTATATCAACACAAACCTATTCGTCTATGAGAAAATAAGACGAATAGGGCTTCGGGGCGTGGCACACGTTGCAATTATACCAAGGAGCGCCAAGGAATAAAGCCCGCAAGTAACCAGACTGCAACAAAACACATCAACATCTACACCTTGAAACCCACCTGTGTCTTGCGCACCTTTCAGTAACTGGGACAACGACTGAAACTCGGGCCAACTACCCGGCCAAAGAGCGAATCACTCCACACACCCATTCCCGAGAGGCCTCATCCGCTGCATTGCTGCTGCAAAGCTACCTGCATGCACCGACGAATCTCCCATTACGACAGCACCCCCCTGCTTTTCGCTTCCTAGCGTCGAGCTTGCAAGAACTTTTCGGCGGTGTTTAGCCTTGTTTTGGGATTCGGACTGCAGGGGAGGGGTTTGGGGTTAAGGATCGAGGATCAGGGGCTGGGGCTGGCGGCTTGGGATTTATAAAGTTGAGGATATGGGGGTTTCAGAAAATAGGGGACCCTAATATAGTACCCTAAATAATAGGATCCTTATTATAAGGACAACCCCTAATTTTCGGAAACCCCCATATAGGGTTGAGGATGTAGGAACCCACGCCCGGAGCTGTTACGAGTTCTGCTTCAACTGGTCACGAGATTCGCCCAACTTCGTCTTGGACAGTGACAGTTTGCAGGTGCCCGGTCCTACGACAGCAGAAGCTTGGGTTCAGGCTGATTCAGATTATAGGGTTTAGGGTTTAGGGTTGAGTGTGAACTCCTTCCCCGACGCGGGTCCAAGATTTTGCGGTGTCGGGCGGACGGGGACGGGCCTGAACATGGCGTCAGGCCGGGGAGCAAGACTCCGCCACCGTAGCTCCCTAAACACTCATGCATGGAGCACCACGACGACCGTGACCTGCGACCAGGACCACCAAGACCCCCAGGACCACCACGGCCACCAAGAGACCAGGAGGGGACCCTCTTGTACACATGAGGACCAACCAGACCGGAGGTTCAGACGCGAAGGAACCTATCGATCAAACCCACCCGAACGCACCATATTTTCAATACTGCACCAAAAAAGAAGGCCGGGATCTCTAATTGTCGTTCAATTTTCACCCTTGTCAGGGGAGGGAGGGAGCTCTGAAGCCAATGTTTCCAGCACCGCAAACTCAAACCCTGTGCCCATATCGGCCTCCCATGGATGGCCGTCGATCAAGTCTTTGTAAGTTTGCCGATCCTGACATGGCTTCGTTTAGGGTTTGAGGGGTTGGGGCTTTCGGCTCTTTGGGCTTAAGGCGGTTTGGGGCGGATGAGGGGTTTAGAGGTGAGGGTCCAGGGCTGAAGGTTGGGGGCCGGGATGTAGCATTTAATCCTAAACCCTAAACCCTAAACCTGCTTTCAGGTTGAAGGTTTGGGGTGCAGATTGGGGCAGGGGGCTTAGGGGGTGAGGTTGAGGTCTGGCATTGGGATCTTTGCAGGATGAATTAGGGTTTTAGGCTTGGGATTGAGGTTTTCGGATGTAGGGTTGAGGGCCTAAGTAGCTGCCATTAGATATAGTGGAGGGGTGATGAACTCAGAAAGCCTTAACTCCAGAATCCGCAACCTCGCCATCTCGCAGGACTAAACCCTATAAATCCTAAACCCGAAACTTGAAACCCTAAATCCTAAGCCCTAAATTGGGCCCTAAACTTCAAATCCCTAAATCCTAAAGCCTAAACTGTAATCAAACCCTATAAATCCTAAACCCTAAACTTTAAACCCCTAAATCCTAAACCCTAAACTTTAAGCCCTAGATCCTAAACCCTGAACCCTAAGCTCTAAAGCCTGAACCCGAGAGCATCTCTTCGGGAAGCTTGTTGAGGACGTAGGGTCGCGATTAGACATCGGTTTAGGGTTTAGGGTTTTAGGGAATCTGGGTTTTAGGGTTTAGGGTGTAGGTTTAGGGTTTCAGGGTTTAGGATTTAGGGTTTAGGGTTTTAGGGAAGCTGGGTTTTAGGGTTTAGGGTGTAGGGTTCTAGGGAATCTGGGTTTTAGGATTTAGGGTTTAGGGTTTAGGCTTTCAGGGTTTAGGGTTTTAGGGAATCTGGGTTTTAGGGTTTAGGGTTTAGGTTTAGGGTTTCAGGGTTCAGGGTTTAGGGTTTTGGGTTTAGGGTTTCAGGGTTTAGGGTTTTAGGGAATCTGGGTTTTAGGGTTTAGGGTGTAGGTTTAGGGTTTCAGGGTTTAGGGTT